GGAATAAAAGTATGAACAGAATCTCCTAAAAAGGTCTCATGTTTAAAATATAATGAGGTTAAAATAATACTAAAAAAGCAATGAAAATGCTAGGGTGGGTTCCTCTCTTGAAAAGTTGAGATGCAGGTGTGTGCAGCATGAGGGGTCGTTTGCTAGTCGTGTGCAGCATGAAGCGGAGTCGGGACCTGAGGGGCTCTCGTCTCTCCCTTGCTTTCTGCTGGTGCAGAGACAGTATAGGGCGCACCTGCTGTCTGCAGAGCTGCCGTCACACTGTCAGCTTGTTCTTCCTGTCACAGGTCTTTGGTGCTCCACTTGGCTTTTCAGGTGTGGACTAGGTGTGTTCCCTCCCCCCACCCACTGCGCCTACACTAGTTTGGTTTTCTTTTCCTTTATTGCCGTTTGAATGTAGTATTTTATCAGCCTCTTCTTCCTTCGCGATCTCTTTTTTGTCAGCTTGTTTTAGTCTCCTGGTGATGCTTTCTGTTGTGTTTTCTACTTAATTCAAAGGATTTTTTCCTTCCTAGCATTTCTCTCCTCATATCTACACCCTAGAAGAACTAATGTTCTGGCTAGCACGGAGTCCTGTAGGGCGAAGACCTGCCTATGTGTTGGTTAGACTCCCCCTCCCCACCAGGACTGATGCACGGTGGTGTCAAACAGTCGACAGAATTTGGAGTTCTGAGATTCTAAAGTACTGAGCAGATAGACACCTCCAGAGGTCCGTCAGGCTGACCCCAGGCTGTCCACTTAATGCTGGCCTGCAGGCGCTCCATGGTTACTCTGAGTTGATAGGCTGGCCATCGGGGGTGTCCCTGTCTATGTGCACTTCTCTGTCTGTACCAAGCCTCTGATGCCTGCAGTTTTGGCCTGTTCAGCCCCCTTGCGCTCCACCCCCATCCCCAGGGCTGTGCCTCACTCCATGACTATGGCAGATTAAAGTTGGGCTCCTAGACTTGTGATTGTTCCCTGGTATTAGGTCTTTGGAGCAGCTCAGTTTTAAACAGTGAGTTCATTTTCAGAAGAGTGCCCACTGCCCTCTTAGTCATATGCAGTGATGCAGTGGGGTTCCTTATGTCTGGAGGAATCACTGTCTTACGGTGCAGCTGAATTTGAGGCTCATGTGATCCCTGGGTTTATCCTTACACTGGGCCTGCCAGTCCTTTCTATATTGAGGCCTGGTTTGCCTTTCAAATAAGGTTTCCCTTTTCCCTCCTGCTTGCTGCAGAGCCACCCAGCTGGATCCCCACTAAGCTTGGATTCCTGTTTTGTGTGTGTGTGTGTGTGTGTGTGTGTGTGTGTGTGTGTGTGTGTCTTCAGTCTCTCCTCCAACACCTTTACCACCTTTGTGACATTCTGCAGCCCTTCCCTGTCGCTTTGATTAGAGCCTGTGCTTCACTGACTTTGTGACTGGATTACTGTTTGTAGTCTGCCATCCTACCTGGAGCTCTCCAACAAACTTTGTTTTTGAGACAGGGTCTCACTGAGGCCTGGGACTCTCTATATAGACCAGGCTGGCCTTGAGCTTATAAAGAACTGCCTGCCTTTGCCTCTCATGAGTGGAGTGCTTGGGTTTAAAGGTATGTGCCAACATCCAGGCCTAAACATATTTTTAGAAGGCTTATAGTAATTTCTCCAGTTACTTACTTGAAACACGTTTCACCAGATAGTACAGGATTGGCCTCTTTTCTGTGCTCAGTTCTTGTCCTAAAACAGTCGTCCTGTTAGTCAGAGCTCCAGAAAGTCAGAGTCCGTTCTTAGGACCTTGTCTTGTTTCAGTTCCTTCAGCACGCAAGGATAACCACAGCAGGGCGGTGGCGTGTGAGTCTCGTGAGGCAGTGGGTCTCCCCAGCACTCTTGGCATGATGGAGGGACACAGGCCCTCTGCTCCTCTTCCGTGTGTGTTGATATGATTTAGGATACACAGACTAGTAGTGGAATCTCAACAGTTGCTCAAGTTGAAGAGCTAGAATATCGTTATAAAACCCTGAGGTCAGCTTTCTGGAATTTTTTCATACTGACACGGTACCCCATGGGCTTAGAAAGTTGTATAGAGCTGCCTTTTACGTTATGAACATGTGATTTTCCTGTATTTGAGGTAATCCTCACCTGAAGGCAAAGGGAAAATTGCCCCCAAATCAAATGGGCCCCCATGTGCTAAATAACTGCTGCACCATCAGATTAGAGGGCCATCTGAGCTGACAGACGCGTGAGCCATGTGGAGAGTCCTCAAGGGAGATGAATGGGCGGAACAAGAGCAATAGCTTGCTTTTTGGGTTTTTTGTTTTTTGGGTTTGTTGGTTTTTTTTTTTTTTTTTGTTGCTTGGTTTTGTTTTGTTTTGTTTTTGTTTTTCGAGACAGGGCTTCTCTGTGTAGCTTTGGAGCCTGTCCTGGAATTTGCTCTGTGGACCAGGCTGGCCTCAAACTCACAGAGATCCACCTGCTTCTGCCTACCGAGTGCTGGGATTCTCTGTGAGTTCAAGGCCAGCCTGGTCTACACAAGCTAGTTCCAGGACAAGTTCCAAAACTACAGAGAAACCCTGTCTTAAAAAAAACAAAACAAAAAAGAACACTATATCACAATCAATCAACTTCATCTTTTCTGACTTGTACTGTACAACTTACATGAATAAATGTCATTTTTGCACTAGCTCTTTGAGGGCTTCATCAGTTTTCTTAAGGACCTTTTTCTTTAATGACAATTAGTGTTATTTAGAGCACCTATTCTGTTTTGTTGTTTTGACTCTTGATTATGAGGATCATGGTGATTTTGTGTGTGTGTCTGTCCGTCTATGTGTCTATATGCTTATATGCCCCACATGTTGCTGAGGATTGCTCTCGGCCTGGGACATGCTAGGAATGTGCTCCTCCCAGTCTTTGTTGTAGACAGTTTGCGCCTTTGAGTTCTTAGTCATGGGCCTTGCCTCTGTTTAGAATTATTTAGTACCCTTTTATATAGGGACAAAATCGTTCACGTAGGGGGCAAGAAGAAAGGTGATTGTGTTAGGTGGGATGATGTTCATCTTAGAAATGTCGATTTACAACTCTCCATGCTTTGGTGTCCGGCTTCCACATGTGTAAATGTGTGACAGGTGGAAACAATTTTCTTTTAACTAAATGTATAGAATATGTTTGGGGCCTTTCTTCTGAGTCAAAACATTTTTTTTGTCTTATCTTTGCCTATTCCATGCATTTTAAAAAAAATTACATATAGTACATCTGGTTCATACTAAGGCAAAGTTGCCCCCTTTTTTTTTTGTTTGTTTGTTTTTGACATTTTCTCAGGTGTTTTCTTTATGTATTAACTTTTTTGAATGGGTAAAAACATGAGAATCAAGACTATTTTCTAGTATTCTTTCTCTAAATGTTTTCCTCTTCCTGGAGACCTCTTGATCAAAGTGATGAAGGAAACTAGAATGTCTGATTTTAAATGGATTGTGTTTGTAGGGGAGAAAACCCACATATCTATTAGATGATAGTTTTCCAGTTTTCTATTGTGAAACAGTAGTTTGTGTTTCTGGAATACCCTTTGTAAATTGATTTATTTGATTAAAAATGATTACAACACATTTATCTTGTCAAGATGAAATGTCCTCCCTCTAGGAGGCTTTCTTTCTTTGGAGTAGTGGCCTGGTAACACGGGCAATAGTGACTGGAGTCCTGATGTCATGTGTGAATACTTGGCATTATCTGCCAATCACTCTCGAGCCACATGCAACACTTACCCAGTTTTCATGTGGTTTGTGAAGGGGGGCTCAGTCGTTAGCCTGAAAATTTCTTTTTAGCATAAATAGCAGAACACCAAGAGAACACTGAGGGCTTCATTATTTGGCGCTCAAGTTTCTGTCAGTTTTTTGAAGTCATGAGGTAAATTTGAATCCTTGATGTTCCCAAAGGGATCTCCCTGTAGCCTTCAGGTTTATCCCTCACCAATGAGTGGGTCTTTAGGGATGGGTGGCTGAAAGACGTTTATCCCCTGCGTCTACCAGCTGACCTCCACTCCAAGCTTTAGGGTGGTTTTTCCATGCATTTAGGGAAAAAGTATAGGTTTGTTCTCTGGCCAAGTAGGCCACAGCTGTACACAGTGGTTGTGGGAGGCATTTTCAGTTGGCTGAACTAGAACTCTCCAAGGCAAATGACTTCCTCACTGGGGCGAGCATTGCACTTCTGGATCATTATAAGCAGTGCCCACCTAGCCATTGATGATGGAATTTGTAGAAGATCCCTTTCTGGTTCTAAATTGAAGGTGCATTGCTTCTAATACCCTTTCCTTATTGATAATACTGTACTGTGGAGGGAGTTGATGTATTTCAACCTTGTATCTAGGCCTTCTTCTGTGCTAGTTATTCAGGCTGTTATGTATGCACAGCTGTAGGTTTTACAGCCCTCCCTGTACCTGCTATTGAAAGATACTGCAATTTGGGGGCATATATTATATATATGTAAATGTACATACATACATACAGACACATACATATGTATATTACAGAAAAGAATATTACTTTAAGAAGTTTCTCTGGTCAAAGTTAGTGAAAGGGACCTCCCCTACGTTTGCAGTGTTGATTTGTAGCTTTGTGGCAGACTGGAATAAATGTGAAGGGAGGGGGCAGTCTGGATGAGAAAAAAACTGAATAAGGCTGGTAATAGACACTTCAAAATATATGCATACAACCAGGAAGACCCCTAGTGTTCCTCTGCTCTAGGTCTTGGTCGTGCATTTCTCGCCATGAGTACAGTAACGAAGTAGCTACTTGCTGTGGCTTTGATGAGCACAGTCAAGGGTGTGCTGCAGTCAGTGTTGATTTTGCTGTGCAGAGTACCTCGGTGCTGTTGATCATCCTTCGTCTCTCATCCCGGTAGAGAAGCCAGTGCTTAATGCTGGCTTGCCTGTTGCCACCTCTTCTTTTCCCTGCTGTACTGTCCAGAGCCACCTGTTTGAGAGAGTTGGGACTTCCCTTAGCGTCTTTGTGCAGAAGCTGAATCTTCCCTGTCTTGTCTCCTAGGTTTCCACTTGAGTGGCACAGTCACGGAACCCGCAGTACAGTCGGAGCCAGAAACCATTTGCAACGTGGCCATCAGCTTTGATCGTTGCAAGATTACCTCAGTGACCTGCAGCTGTGGAAACAAGGACATATTTTACTGTGCCCATGTTGTGGCATTGTCTTTATACCGCATCCGCAAGCCAGATCAGGTCAAACTGCACCTTCCCATCTCAGAGACTCTCTTCCAGATGAACAGAGACCAGCTGCAGAAGTTTGTTCAGTATTTGATCACAGTGCACCACACCGAAGTCTTGCCAACTGCTCAGAAGCTAGCAGATGAAATTCTTTCCCAGAATTCAGAAATCAACCAAGTTCATGGTGAGTATGACAGTGTCAATTTTCTCTGGATTATTTTTCATTCAGTTCAATTATGCATAAAATGAATTAAGCATGAAAAATAAGTCATCAGTAATACTCTTTGGTAGAGAGATTAGCTTGGCTTTGTATCCTACAGCATTTCTTTAATAGGATTTTATGCTAGAAGGCTAGCCCCTTTTAGGGAGAGCTAGCTAATGGCATCTTGTTAGTGTGGGTCGGGCAAGAAAAATCTCCTTGGTTAAAAACTCGATTCTTACACTTCATTTAGCTTAGTAACATTTCATTTAATCTAGTGTTTAATAGAACACTTGTTATTTATTTTATAGGCTTTAGTACATGAATATGTGTGTGTTGGACTTTAAAAACTTTACTTTCCAGTGCTGGAAGCTTTTTAAGTAGTACCTTATAAAAGAAAATAAACTTTAGAAAACTTTACAACTTAAGAGTTTATTATAAATGTAGCTTTAATATAAACAGTTTTTCTTTGGAATTAGCTGAAAAGAATATATGGAACCATTCAGAAATATCCAGCAATATTTTTCTATGTATTATACTAATAAAATATAAGTAATACTAGATTGGGGGTGTATGGCTCGTTCATTAAAAGTACTTATTTTGCAAGCAAGAAGACCTGAGTAGTTATGTTTCGAGAGTCCATGTTTAAAAAGTCAGGCATGATAGCATGCTTGAAGTCGGCACTTGGGGGAGGCAAACACAGTAACATCCTTGGGGCTTGCTGTCCAACCTACCTAGTCTGCTTACCAAATTTCAGATCAGTGGGAGACCCTGTCTCACAAGCACAGAAACCCGCACACAGAACAAACAAATCTGGTGCATAGCAACTTGGGTGTTGTCACCTAAGGCTTTCTGGCTTCAACACAAGTTGTTTGTGCTTTTAAAACATTTGGAAATAATTTTGTAATTAGAAATACATTGAGGTGTGAAGTGATTCCATCTTAAACCTGTAAGAATGGCCAAGATAAAAAACACTAATGACAACTTATCTTATGCTGGAGAGGTTGTGGGGTAAAGGGAACACTCCTGCATTGCTGGTGGGAATGCAAGCTGGTACAGCCCCTTTGAATATCAGTGTGGCAATTTCTCAAATATTAGGAAACATTCCTTCCTCAAGACCCAGTAATACCACTTTTGGTATATATTCAAAGGATGCTCAATAGTGCCACAAGGACATGCGCTCAGCTATGTTCTTAGAAGCATTGTTTGTCATAGCCAGAACCTGGAAACAACCTAAATGCCCTTTGACCAAAGAATGAATAAGGAAAATGTGGTACATTTACACAATGGAGTACTACACAGCAGAAAAAAAAATAATGACACTTTGAAATTTGCAAGCAGATGAATGGAGCTAAAAAACATCATTTTGAGTGAGGTAACCCAGACACAGAAAGACAATTATCATTTGTACTCACTCATAAGTGGTTTTTAAACATAAAGCAAAAGAAAAACAGTCTACAAATCACAATCCCAGAAAAGCTAAACAACAATGGAAAGTAGAAAAAGACAAGATATCCTGAGTAAATTGGGAGCATGGGAACCTTGGGAGAGGGTTGAAGGGCAAGGGAGAGGCAAAGAGGGGAGGAGAGAAAAATGGAGAGCTCAATGAAAATCAATAAAAAAAAAATAGAAACAACAACAAAAAATACATTGAGATGTCACAATCTTGGCTAAGCAGCACAGGGCCCTGATGTTATTAAAATTTATTTTGTTATATTCTTTTGAGTTATAGGAAGTCATTCAACCTTATTCTTTCACTTTTGTGAGTTTTTTTCGATGCCATGACACAAATAGAAATGTTTATGGAAAGCCTCAGTATGGCGTTTTAAAACGGAGATGGCAGTTTGTAATGAAGTCAGAATACAGTTAGCAAATACAGCAGACCAGCTTGTAGGCCAAGCAGTAGCCAGTTCTGAGTACTTGTCCGGTCTCCATGCCCTTCCCCAACAGGCTCCCCAGATTTGTATTGTAATCATTTCCTTGGTGGTGGTGGCATTTTTACATCATAAATGCTGGCTTAGCTTGATCTGTTTTTCAACTCTTTATATCATACAGTATGATTTCCATACATCTCACTTAAAGTCTTAATAGTAGAATTTACCTGTGTTGTTTGGTGTGCCTGTAATTTGTTTGTTGGTATTTTTTGATGCTTCCCTGTTTAATAGAAATACAGTGTGCCCCAATAGGAACAATTTAAAAAATAAAAAGCAAAATTAATTTTAATTCCATTTTCTGATTTGTTTTACCAAATATTCAACAAAAATATTGTTATTTTTTAGATCACTATCATACTTTAGGTTTTTAATATTATTTTGTAAGTAGATATCAGTATTTCCCTCTTAATGAATCAGTATGATTTTATACTGTTAGGATAAGTTGTCAAATGACAAACTGTACCAGTAGTTCAAAATGTTTTAGGTGCCAGTGATGGTGTGAAGGGTGTGCGTGTGTGTGTGCATGCGTGTGTGGGTGTGTGTGTGCACGCGTGTGTTTGTGTAGGTTGGCAAGATATTTCTTATAATCATTTGGGGAAGTTTATATTTTTATGTGAAGACTGAAATTTGGTGTCTGTTTTATACTTACAACACCCCCAATTATTGTGAAGTTTTACTCTACTCTTTTTGAGGGGCCCAGCTCCCAAATAAATTACACACGGAGGCTTATTCTTAGTTATAAAAGCCTGGCCTTAGGTTAGCTTGTTGCTTGCCAGCTATTCTTAGCTAATTATCCCAGCTACCGTTTGCCTCTGGGTTTTTTTCCTCTTCTTTATGTCTTACTTTCCTTCTTACTTCATAGCTGGCTGGGTGACTGGGTGGCTGACCGCTGACATCCTCCTCTTCCTAGGTTCTCCTATTTGTCCTCTCTGCCAGCCAGCCCCACCTATCCTTGCTTCTGCTTAGCCATTGGCCATTCAGCTCTTTATTAGGACCATCAGGTGTTTTTGAGACACACTGTAACACAGCTTCATAGAATTAAACAAATGCAACAGGAACAAAAGTCACACACCTGAAAATAATATTCCCCAACACCCTGTCACCCTGCAAGTCTGTAGCCACAGTGGCTGGTGATTACCAGATGACAACACATTGCGTTGGTGTATTCTGGGTGTTAGACCGCCAGAGAATGGCACTGTTTATCTGTCCACTCCACTGATGCTGGGCCGTGTTTACAGTAGAGCTGCTTAGGAACATTCCTTCAGAAGTCTCCAGTACTGTGCCTGTGGTTTTTATATCAGAGGCAAATTCGCAGTCACGTTTCTTCTGGCACTCCCCATGTCAGGCTCTGCTTTGTTTAAGTGGCTGCCAGGTGGTGTGGGAAGCGTTTTACCTGGAAGAGGCCGACACTGCTAAATGGCAGGCGTGTGCACAACTGTGCTGCAGAACCACCTGCGACCCACAGAAAACACTTGCATTCAAGAGCTTCTCAAGTAGGCTTCCAACCTATAGCGGCTTCTTTCTGTCCTTTGCTGCTGAAAATTCAGATCACCCAAGAGGCTGCCCATTTAGAGCAGTGGTTCTCAACCTGTGAGGCACCCCCTCTTTGGGCTGAACAATCCTTTCACAATGATTGTATATCAGATATCCTACCTATCAGGTTACATTATGATCCAATTCATTACAGTAGCAAAATTAGAGTTTATGAAGTAGCACTGAAATAATTTTGCATCTGGAGGTAGGTGGGTCACCACAACATGGGGAACTGTATTAAAGGGTCGCAGCGTTAGGAAGGTTGAGAACCACTGATTTAGGACTTTTTATTAGTGTTCAGTAGACATTGACACATAGGATGTAGTTCCTTTTTTCTGTTTTCTTTTTCCTTAATTCAAATAACCTATTAAAGTCACTATAAAGTTCTCTCAGTTTTAGTTTAACCAAAGGTCCCATCAATAACTATATATTTGATGTATTTATCTTGCTTTGAAGGTTAACAGCTCCCTAGTTTTCTTATCTAAAGAGTTCTTTTAGTTCATTACCATATTGAAATTGTGTTCCGAATGAAGTCTTGCAAACTATCATTACTTGCAGGAATGTGTTCACATGACACTTCTTTCAGAATTTCTGAGGTTGTGTTTAAGGGAACTAGGAAGAACAGTGAGGTTTGCTTGGAATCTAATTTTCAGAGAATTTTGTATGAGAAGAGCTCTTGAGAGACGAGAACCGAGAGGTTTGTACTACAGCTATTTAATTTCTCCCCAGTTTGGGCAGGAAGTGGGCCATTTACCCAAGCTGTCTACTGCCTTTCTCTCTAACGTGACAGTGTTCAAGAAGGTAAGAACAGGCCACAGCCTTATATGATGAAATGGGAAGTGTATTCTCTGGAGGCCCCAACTTTAGATGTTAGATTAATGACTTGGTAGAGGGTGGAATTAAAAATTTTTTGACCACGTGGTCTCACCTGCCTTCAAACATCTGTACATAAAACACTCTCTTTTCAAATTAAATCTTTTTTTCAAAACAGTACTTTTTGTATGGTTTTGTGCTTATATTTTTTCATTTGAGAAAAATGCCTTAAATATTGGGGTGATTTAATTTTTCTCTAAGGGGAAGTATCACTTTTAACCGAGAGAGAAATAGGGTCAATATAGAATTTAGACTAAATTATTTTGACCAGTTTTATGATAACATGGCTTAGCTTATCTGTGCCCTTTTTGAAAGTATGATTCAACTTAAATTAATCTTTTGTTTTATTTTTTGAGACAGGGTTTCTTTGTAGCTTTGGAGCCTGTCCTGGAACTTGCTCTCTGTAGACCAGGCTCGCCTTGAACTCACAGAGATCTTCCTGTCTCTGCCTCCCTAGTGTTAGAATTAAAGGCATGTGCCACCACAACCCAGCTAAAGTAACAGAATTTTTGAATTTTTTTGTTTCTTGTGAATTTATTTGATGCTTCTTAAAATCTGTTTCTTTGGAAGAAGACTCCAGAAAATGGAAAGATCTCCCATGCCCTTGGGTAGGTAGAATTAGCATTGCAAAATTGGCAATCTTAC